GATTGATGCAATGTTGCTGGAAAACTTGAAGGCATATGTCACGTACTGCTTGCATAGCGTCGCATTCAAGGAAATTGTTAGATGGTTAGCCACCAAAAATTTTTCTCCAGCAGCAGCATCAATTGCCGTTGACTCGGCTGACTGATCCAAGGATTTCCCAACGGTCTCTTTAAGGTCTGGATATTTAGAGAGAGTCTTCAAAAATTTAGTCTTGTCTTGGTCATATAATTATGATTTCGAGTCGCATCCACTCATCACGTGCAGAAACATCATGTGCTTGGCAAGATTTTGTATCACTGCAGACTGTGGTTGGTACAGCAACTGAGTGGCTTTCCCTTTCCCTGGCTTCAGCAGATAAAGTTTTGGAAAAATGTTGAGACCTATCATTATCACCAGCAGATCTACATCTTCCCTCACAATCGTAACAGTTTAATGAGTTGGGGCCAAGGATTCGGCCTTTCGAACAATCAGTGAATCTGCATCCTCGTTTGCTTGTCTACAGGCAATTCCTGCTTCTTCACACTTTGTAATTAGTATGGTGATTTAGCGACTTTTGTTTTTGGCATTACTTTATGCGTATATACTGATCCAAATTTAAAAATTCGATGCTCACTGAACGCAAAATTTGATGCTTTACAACTTTTGTTTTACAAGTTTTTCACGTAGAGTGGCTTTTGACATCCCAGACGTCTAAAAATGAGTTTCTTGCAGTTTTCACAAAAATTGCTAAACATTGTCTTTTTTAGACTAATGATGGTGACCTTATAAATCAGTCTAATTTGAAAGTTAGGAAGGTTTTTCGACGCAGAATTGTATGCTTTTCAACTTTGGATAAAGTGTCATTTTCCGTACGATACATCGTTTCCAGTATATGAGCGGAAAACCAGAAAAACTTCGAAAATTTCGAGAATTTTTGCGTTTTTCAACCTGAAGCAGCACTGCTACGAGGCAGAAAACTTCAGATTCGTATTCAGCACCCCAAAAAAACATATAATTCCGTTGAGAAACCTTCTACCGTACTCATGTTACGAAACAGGCACTTTTGAACACCATTTTATCAGACTAAAAGCAACAATTTAAATGCCATATTTTTATAGCCCCGTCGGAGAAGGTTGTAACTCAATTAAGGTGATTTTCAGGAGCGTCAGAATACTAAAAATAGTTTTTATGTGTGGAGAAACTGTATAATACTCCAATAGTTAACAAATTAAATAATGACTTTAAATTTTATAAATCATTAATAAGTTTGACTAAGATGCAACCTTGACAATTAACATAACACTTCACAGAATAAGGAAGTTAGTAAGATATAACCATAGTAAAATAAGTATATTTTTTGCTACATTAAACAAAATAGCAAACAAGAAGGCTGTAACTCATTTTAGAATCTTTTAATATGCTACATATTATTCGAAACTACAAAATTTGACGTAGATAAAGAGGTATTTGACATGTGTTACAACTTTTTTCAAACGAGTATCAGCAAGGCCATTGCGAATTGAGATACGTTTTTATACTGATGAATTCTCCGATAAACAAATGAAAAATAGATACCTAACGGGCGCCGTTTAACACAGGCTTTGTTTGTTTGAAGCCAGTATCTACAAACTTTTGACAGCTGTGGTCTACATGGGCGCATCAAGTAGTTTTCTTCATCGGAATCCGAAGGATTATTTTGTCACGGACGGATTTAAACTCAAATCTAAAATTTTATTTTACAAAAAGTAAACTACGCTATTTTTTAATGAAATTATAAGAAAATAACACTATGTAATGTAATAGCTTTCTATGTGTTCTAACTTAACTCTTTGATAGGTAGCGATATTTAAGTTCGTGTGTAGATTGTGAAATACAAAAATAATAAAAATAGGGATAAAAACCATTTTTCGGCGCAAACTATTAGGTTAGGGCATATTAAATGTTAAAATAGCACTCTTCCTCCTGGCATTTTGACAATATAATACAATTATCAGGATACAATAAGTCTAAGTATAATTACACTAAAGTTTATTAATACTACAGCAGGTTAGGTTAGGTTATATATGCAACATTTCACTATATTTGCTGCGTTTAAAAAGTAACCTCGAAGCGTAAAACCATAATATCTTTCTTAAATCTTTTGCTTTAATTGTTACTGTTACATCCATACCGCAAGTTTTCAATGTTTTTCAATAAAACCACTTACAGAGAACAAAGTTTACAACATAATATAATACAAATATCTGTTTAATATCTTATAAATCACTATAAACGACTCACAAACTACTGCAACATGCGTCTGTCATATGATATTTATTTCGCGTTAACTCTACTAACTCTACGCATGACGTCAGCGCCGCCATGATACCATGCGCGATATCCCCCCCTGCATAGCACCCACTCTGTCACCTTTGTACCTTGTACAAGTTTGTACAGATCCTTGGGTGAGTGGGTTCTATACGTTGTTGGATCAACCAGGGGTTCTCCAAAAAGAGCCTGTCTTTTGCGATCTAGAGCTTCGCATTCGCACAATATGTGTTTGGCCGTTTCTGGTTTCTTGTGACATAGTCGGACATGAGTTTCCCATTGTACATGCCAATTTTGTTCAAGTGTCCCTTTACTGGGGCGTGCCCAGTCATGAACCCTATTACATCAGTGGCTTCTCGATAAGATCTGCTCCGTGGTCTTTTATTGCAGAGCTGGTACGTCGAGTAAGATCTATTCACTACGAATTAAATTTAAGAGAAATATTTATAAAAAACGTCAGACAGAAATTAGAACATGGTTTATTTTCTAGTGAAAGCAAAAGGCGAAAATATCACAGCTAAAAATTCACTTTACTTTGCAACAAAAACCATTATACGAGAGATCAAATTTGATTTAAAAGAAAGGTTTAAGTTTATTATTTTAATGAAAACCGGAAAAAACCAAATCCATAGCCGGTCTTTTATTTCACATAATTTCGATGATCACGTGACTAAAAAATCTGGCTGTACTCCGCTCCAGGAGGTACTTTTTAAACGTAGCAATTGTACAACTCTTTTTAATGAAACGTAACAAATAAGACAAAAACGTAATACATATGACTTCTCTGTTGTATTAATCTAAAAAAAAGGTCCACCGGTCCTCGACGTGATTTCTCTGTGAATGGTATCTTTGGAAACTTAAAAAAAAGTCTTCACCTCACCAAAGTTCATCATCAATGTTGTATTGGGCTAAACTAGTCACCCTACAGTTGGTATACCTACCTATATACTGTTGATTTATGTTTATTCAGAACAAGTGCGATAAACAAGCATAATATTCATTCATTTTCACAAAATCCCTGTTGAATGTCTTGAAAAAGTCCATCACTCTCAGTCAGTGATTTGTTAAAATACTAAAAGGATGTTATATGATGTATACCAGATTAACGAAAATGAATTTAGAAATACCATGAGGGCAAAAACTTAAGCTTTTACGGAGAATTTAAAGTTTTCGAAAACCCCTCTAACAATTATGTTTCGTATCAATATCACATTTATTATTAGAATCATCAAAACAATTTATTGACTTGATGAGTAAGAAAAATGGAGTAGTTTTACCGTGCATTTCTAGCCTATGAAGATCCAAACATTAAAAATGTTAATATATACAATTTTTGTCAAACAAGTATAATCACAGGAATTAAAGAATTTAATATAGTTCATTTATTGTAATATATTTAAAACTTCACCTTTTCGATTATGTTTTCTGTCTAAAAAACGACGTTTTATGTCACATTCGAATAAAAACAAATTTATTTTTGAAAAAATTAGTTTTTTAAAGGATTTTTGGCTTTCGTTATCCTCAGTGCCTCAGAAGATGCAAGCGACTTTAAAATAGTACATTTTTTTAAATTTTCAGTGTGCATTAATATTTACTTTATCAAATATTTTATTTAATAACTAAGTTTAAAATGTAAGAATAATTTGTAATAGGTAGGTATTATTTAATATTATTATAAAACTTACTTGTTTTCTGAAGATGGGCCAGGTTAAGCATTGAATAAAATCACTTTAAAATCATCTTCCCGGAGGCATTCATTACAAAATCATCTATTTTAAAATGTTCCGAACATATTCTGGAATTTTTATTGATTTTATCAACTTCATCAGTTCCTATAGGAAAGTAGCATTTCAAGAAAATTGCTGTTAAAACTGTTTATGTTTACATGAAGAAGCAAAGTAATATTAATGCGCCTTAAATTTGGAATAGAATACGTCTGATGAAGTTGCATTTGAATTTTGTGTCTTAACTCAAAATTGCGATTTTTTTGAGTGGCTTTGGGTATTGTGTATTGATGGTGAGATATATTCTTTTTTAATTAGGTACATAACGTAGTATCTACATTAGTATTGAAAGATTAATATACCAATACTTAAATTAAAAAAATTACACAGTGGTGCCTGGTGCCGCATATGTGTTTTATTTACTTACCAATGAAAGGAGGTAGAACCACCCAAAATGTATCTTTTAGAAAAATAATACACTTGTTAGTCATTTTTCCCCTCAAAACTAATAAATATCGTTTAAAAAACACACTAGAAACTGAAAAACTTTAAAATAAGGCGTTCTGGGAACATAAAAACAGAAATTTTAAAATCCAAATTGACAATTCCCAACTGCTTGTTGACAGTTGTGAGAAAATTTTAGCGCTGCTATTTAAAATAAACGAATCACATCGAAGACCATGGAGAAAGAGAAAGTAATAGATAAAACGGTTCATACTGGATTCAAACAAATCCAGACCGTTAGGCATCTATTATTCATTTGTTTATCTGAGGATGAATTCGCCCTATTTTGCTAAATACGGCTGTGGCTGAATTTAAAACGGACTTTTTGTGAGTTACAATCTTCTTTGATGGGGGTGTCGATTTTAGGTACAAAAGAGGATATTAAGCTCTTAAAGAAGGTACTTCTATGTTAAAAAAGTTAAAGGAGTTGAATATACGTACCCACATTTGTGCTGTGTTTCCATCACTATATTATTTTACTTTCAGATTGAAAACAGTCTATGGAGGTAGATCCCAACAAATTTTAGATTCAATGTTATGCGCAGGATATTTGAGAGGTGGCATCGACGCTTGTAGCGGGGATTCCGGTGGGCCACTAGTCTGCGAAAAAGGTGGTAAAATGGAACTTACCGGTATAGTATCTTGGGGTGATGGCTGTGCAAAAAGAAACAAACCCGGTGTTTACACCAGAGTTTCAAGCTTCTTGCCGTGGATTAGGGATTGCGCGACGGACTTGGGAGTCACGCTTTAAAACATGTTAATTTGAAATCTATATGTGTGGGTTATTATTTAGTAACTACTATATTGAGAGTAACGGACTAATAATTATGCACATATACATTTTCAATGTTTGGAACGTTAATTTTAATTGTTAATTATTGTGATAGTCAAAACTTCACCCACATTCACCAAATGTTAAATAACAAAGACAAATTGTTTAAAATCTATTTCAAGTAATGATTTGGTTACCAATAGTAAATTAGTGTACTTACTTTAAATAATTTGTAGTTGATATCCTGATATATTTATTTATTCTTTCTCGCTTAATGATTATTATACAGGGTGTTAGTATATTCGACTGACAACGTCCTACCTCAAAGAGCTCTTGTTAATTGATGAATTTTGATAAATATGAACCCTTAAAGGGCTGAGATACAGGCTATTAAAAAAGTTTAAAATCAAACTTAAAAATTTGCCATAAATCAAAAACGCCTTTAAATCTTTTTCAAATTTCTTCTGTCAAATAAACAAACTATTTAAAATTTGACAAGTGCCTAGTAGATTAGAATTTAGAAATACTGAATACAAATTATCTAAGTACATGCAGACTTTTGTTTAGAAGAAAATGTCTACAACATCGTTCATTTTAGCTCCTAAGTAAATATGAACAGAGAAATAAAAAAAAATTGCCCAGTGGTGTAAATATGTTGCGCGCCACTGTTTAAATTTTCAAAAGTTAGTTTATGTGAAATATTACTTTCTTAAAGAGCATATTGGATATATGACAAATTTTTAATTTTGATTTTAAACATTTACCACCCTGTATCTCGGTAACTAAGTCCTTTAAGCGTACATATTCCTTTATCAAAATTCATCAATTAATGAGAGCTCTCTGGGGTAGAGCGTTGTATGTCGAATATCCTAACACCCTGTATATGAAGAAAAATGTGTAGTGTGATTGATTAGTGAAGTGAAAAGAAAGTAATGTTCTAAAAGCGAGAATGAGAATTGTATATTTTGTTTATATTTAGAATGATTTTATTATTTTACCAATATTATTAGAAATGTATGTTGAGGATTAGTACTATTATTATTGTGACTAATATATCCAAAAAAAAACAATCAAAACTCTTTAGAGTAACAAACATTCTACCTATACTTATTATGTATTCCATAAAATATTTTTATATACTGTGTATATATCTAGTTAATGCTTTAAAGAATAATTATTCATTATGAATCCTGATTAAGTACTTGATTTGTTGGAATCCAATAGAAAAAAATATGTCGTTTTTGTGTTTCAATAAAATATTCGAAAACATTTTGTTATTTTATTACTATCTTGTAAAACTAGAAAATAGATGACCTTACGACATTACGTGAGTATACATTGCGTTTCTTAAGTAATTGTGTATTATTATTAATTTATTTTTATTTATTGTTTATTTATTAAAAAGCAAGACATTATGACAAAAATAATTACAAAAACATAAGTAAGAATAGGTTAACATTTGTTTACCCTTCTAGGCATCCCTTTGCTCCCCCTGAGGGATTCTGGCTGACCGTCCAATCAGGCTTGGTCCAGCCACTAGCTCCCCTCAAACATGGCCCAGACGGCCTATATTGTGCCCTCATTTGGATGTCCGACTCCTTCCCATTCATCATACAATCATTCATTCATTCTTTCATTCATTATCATTAATTCCCTGTCATCGATGGTTAATCGTCAGTCGGTCCAGTGGTCACGCATCCAAGACGTGGCCGGACATCATTGCTTAAAAGCCGCGAGATCGAGAATGCACAATAGTCTCGCGGCTAGCGTCTTCGGCAGGTTAACACTATACGTTCGTAAATGTTTTTAGACTTAATGCTATAAACACCACAATGAAATATATCTTAACACATCTAACGTATTAATAAGTTACACAATGTATACATATTATGCAATGTCAATGATTTTTAAACATTGATCTCTGCTAATAAAAGATAGAATGTAGACTGAGATCATATAGTAGTTCTCGGAAAGTTAAAAACAAGTTATTCTCATAATTGTTCACAATTAATTTTGCTATAAGTATACCAATTTGTGTAGGAAAATTAACACATGACAATTCCACCTTGTCTCAAGATCAATAATTGTATGTCTTTTAAGAAGATAATTTCCGGATAAAGAAGCTGTTCAAAATACATGGCTTTTTATGGGAATTTTACATAATTTTGTCAAAATAAAAAATAAAATTGTTTATTGCCAAATAAAGCACAGAATATATTGTTGTATTTATTTCTAAATAAGTCTCAAATGTTTTAATTGATAAATTGTTTAATTTTATTTATATAAAATGCAAATTAGGTAGGTGTATGACCAAATTCGAAAAGATTTGTTAAATGGTGAAATTTGGTAAGTACAATTTTGTGCCTAAATTTTTTTGAATTATATCTAATAGTTTAGGAGCCCACTGCAAAATTTTGGGTCGATCACTAGTAAGACTAAATTTTCATGAAAACGTCAGGTAATATTCTGTGCAATAGTAATCCGTCGGCAGCCGCACCAATATCATTTGCGTTTTACGTTATCAAAAATTATTAACAATTGAAAATATTTGCCACCCTCCATCCATCGCTTTTTTGCTAAATTTTCTACTTAATCGATAGATAGTAATTAAATAAAAATTTCTATACCCGGCCGACCTCCATCCCTTGCGTTAAGGGTGGCTGATGGGGTCGAAAAGTACCATATAATTGTTGTTTTCATAAACTCATCGCTTTTATAGTCAAACTAAATTCCGTTGGAAAAGTCGCAAAATTTCCTAAAGGAAAATATCCGGCTTCCGCGCAAAAGCGTTTGCAAAACTTAGGCTGTCGCGATTTTGCGCGCGCGCCAGATTCGGTCAAGTTTGAAATCCGCGCTTTAGATTAGGATTAGGTTGTGCGCACGGCTAACGTTTATTGGAACAGGCGATTTTCGTTTTGTATTAGTTTTTCTATTATTTTTATAAATATATAGTTTGTAGTGTTTTTTTTTGTTTTTATTTTTAATTATTATTAAAACGTCCCTATAAATCTAAAGCAGAGGGAGTAATCAATGTTCAATTGAGGAAATTAAATAGAGAAGTCTTAATTTTGTCTTGTTTATTGCAATTTATTAAATTGTTGGAATTTAAACTTTTCTTTATTACAAAATGAAGGCAGATATAAATATAAATAATGTTCAAGGTCTAAAAAGTATACAACAAAATGTGAAAAAATAAGTGCAACATTTTTCATTAGTCACTAAATTCCTCAGAATTTAATTTAATTAAGTAGATATTTTGGTTAAAACTTTTTATGTTTGTTAGCAAAAGTATAATAGTTCATTAATACATTTGTTAATAATCTAATCACATAAAAGGTCAATGCTTACAGTTGTTTGCAAATTAATATTTTCAAGTTCAGCTCGATGTTTCGGGTTCAAAGTTTGGGTTCTATATTTTATTTTTATAAATGTTTTTAGGGTAAATTTTCTTCCTACTAAATGTACTGAAAGACAGATTCTAGAAGAGATTTATAATTATGATTTTTAGATATTCGATCAGAAAATTAAAGTTGTTCCACTGACATTGCTTCAGAAGCTATAGAATAGGTTATTCAATTTATAAAGAAGACATCAATAAGAGTCTAAATTCAGAAAGAAGAGTTGTAGTAAAAATAATAGGTAAAAATAAAAATGCCCGTTTGTAGAAAATATTTATGGCACATATCATTTTGGAGATTATTAAAAGATCTGCAATTCCGAAAACTTTAAAAACATGTTGAAAGTTTATTAATCTAGAACAAGTTGGAGGGGGTTATTCTCAAATTTTCACTAGTAATACCACTAGAGGTCAAAAAATTTCCTGATATTAATTTGACTTCGCGTGGTATTCGGTAAGAAAATTCCACGCCGAATTATGGTTGAAAATTAAATATTTTTAAAATTTATTTTTCGTTTCTCAACAATGCAAATTATTTTCTCCAAGTCACCAGTGAAACATAAAAGGTGTTGTCGCCTTGATTGCTGAGTTGTCATGGTAACTAAGTGAGACCCTAACCTCGAATATAATTTCAGTTTTGAAGTTGTCAAGCGGCCCGACGTAAAAAAATGTTTCGCTGCAATTATTTAGGCCTTCAAATTGCTTATTTCTACTCATTGTAGTTGCATGGGAATACCATTTGAAAAAAGAAAATAGTATATTCTTTAATTTTACGTAAGTTTTGAATAACTACAAGTGGTAGAAAATTGTTTTTCTGCGTTTTTATTAACATGCGTTATGAGCTCTTTAAAATGGTATGAAATTCATAACCAGCGTCAGCAAGCATCAATCGTAGGAGGCTGTGATCATTGTATTTTGACAGTTCAAAACATTAAATAACTCGCGTTTTGTTGCGATAAAGAATATTGCACAGCAAGTAAAACCAACAAAATTACCTATTTGTTTAAAAATGAATCGATTTGAAAATCATACGCTATGCAAAATATGCGTGAAATTGTCTGATGTAATGATCAATCATTGCACCATGACTTACTTACTCGGATTAATAGAGGATTGTGGCTCCAACTTGAAAAACGAAAATTTGTTCCGAATTGTCCACGAATATATGCACCTAAACTACGCAAAATTCAAAGTGCTGAATGGGAAAAAGGTGAATAAATTAGTGTCTAAATATTATATATATTTTATTAGACATAGACACATAATTCAAAGCATTCAAAGTGCTGCATTTTCGCCATTAAGAAGAAAAGAAGTGGCCGAAGAATATAGAAAACATTTTAGCATTGTAACTAAAATGTATCAAAACTAAACCTATTATGTGAACAAATAAAAACCAGTCTGTCAAAAATGGTCTGTTATTGTAAACGTCAAAAAATTTCCAGTATAATTCGCTGTTGGGTACCCCACGAGAAAAAAATTTCCACTAAAATACCTCCGTTACCATGGTGATCTGTCAAAAACACGTATTTTGAATGGTTCAAAATTACAGGTGTGGAATTTTCAGCCGAAAACTCAGCAATGAAAGCGTAAAGCGGACTTCTCAACAAAGCTCAATCACCAAAACGACAAACATGCGATTATAATATTATCTAATGCTAGACAATTGCTATTCGTAAGTGATTTTAA